ATGCTATGCAAAATATGAATGTACAGAATTTAGATAAGTTAATTAATACATGCGATTCATGCCTAAAGTAGAGCAACTTATAGCATCTTAATAATAAGTCCGTAAACATAAATTTTAACAATAAACCACTTTTCCCTATACGCTAATGAATTTGGGAAAAGCCTAACTAATGAATTAGATTACTCTATTGAAGTTGAGAATGCATCCAAGTACCTGATATGTTTCTTTTAATCTCAAATGTATCATATTGTTGGTGATTTACTTTTAAAATATACTTTTTTTAATTGATTTCATGAAAAGAATACTCGTTTAGTGAACTAAAAGCGTAAAAACGTAAAGCGTTTTGGTGAGCTAGAAGCGTAAAACCGTAAGTTTTTAAGCTTTAAAGCGCAATTTAGTCCGATTTTACACACTTAAGTTTTTATATGGAAACGAAAGCGTTTTGGTGACCTAAAAGCGTAAAATCGTAAGTTTTTAAGTTTTAAAGCGTGATTTTGACTGCATTGGTAGGAAGAGTAAATTTTGGTCACATATTGAAATATATGTTGCATAAACTCAAACATTCAATACCACAAACTATAAGGCAAAAGTCTTAAAAGTCCAATATACCCTACTCCGCCATCTTAAAAAATTCATATGGCAAGAAAGTTGTCATTCATAATGCAAGTTAGAGATGCTTAAGAAAGCAAAGAATCCAATTACATGACCCATTACTAAATAGAAAAATCCTATGAAGCCTCGCCTCCTTTAATAATGATAAATCTTAGTATAGAGCACAATGAGAAACATCATCGCATAAGCATATAGTCATATACAAATCCTAGTTCCCGATTCAATATCATCCAAAAAACAAATAATGCAATATGAGAACAGAATGCAGCGAGAGAAGAGGGCAAACAAAGGAAAAAGTTTCTAAAGCTTAAACCTCCTTAAACAGAGATAATTCCATAGTACTTAACACCATTTTAAATATTTCACACAAGGTAAAATTCCTAGTAAATTAATTCGTTATTGCCAACCTTAAGAGCACAATAACCTACATGACATAGGGGAACCACACAGTGCAAAATACAGTGCATAGATTGCCATATTATGTTAATTAAAAAGTTCTCTCTATAACACGTGTCTGTCTATGTGTTTTTTATATAATCTATCTCAGTAAATAAGCTTGATTCCAGATAAAGAAAGCACAAATTCTTATTGTTCTATGCTTCTATCTTTGAAATTGTACACCTGCATGCAGCAACTACAGTTCATGGGTAAGACTAAGAATGAGTTGAGAAGAAACAATCAAACAAAGAAAATATAGACAACTTGGAACATTTATGCAATTCACCCAAAAAACAACATTCAATCAATTTGATTGGCAAAATCCAGTGACTATAAAGTGTGTTTAAAACACAAAATGTATCCAATCAAGTAGGGAAAGAAAATAAGAGCTAATTGATGGCAAAAACTAGGGGTGGTAATCGGTGAATAGGTATTCGATATTGCCGGATATCGTACCAGATACCGGAGGTATCCGGTATACCAAATACCTTCGATATCTTGATTTGGCATAACGGTATACCGAATAATACCCGGTAATATACGGACATCAATTTGGTATATCGGAATACTGAATGGTACGGCTGAGCCGAACACTACTGGTGATGGGAGGGCGAAAGCTATGCCCCCAACGAGCATGATGACGAGGCTGATTCTGATAATGGTGTGGAGGAAGCTGATCAGAAATCCCAACACTTACTCCATCTTGATTGGTCTTATCTAGTCCCTCGTATCCTTCAGGTTTGTTCCTGACTCTATACCATCTTGGCCTTGGTTCATTATCATTTCATTCAAATGTTTCTCTGGGTTTGATTTAGATAATGACACTGGTATGATCGATGATAGATTGATTGGGTTATTAATGGTGGTGGGGTTTTGGTTTTGGATTGCAGGTGGCATGTAGCAATGCCTACTATAATAGCGAAGTCCATTTCGATTCTATCAGATGCAGGGCTCAACATGGCTATGTTCAGTGATGGTTAGTATAATTTCAAAATAGCGAAGTCCATTATTCGTGTTCTTCTTTAAAGTTTGTCCATAAGGCTCCATGGCGGATCTTCTCAAGTCAAGTGTAGTAGAATATATATTGTTTGTCCATAAAGTTGTCCATTTTTCAAAGTAGAACTCACAATTCAATGACTGTAATTTTGGAATAAAACGATCTATTTGGTATCCGGTATACCGGTTTAAATACCGGTAATCGACTATCCGGTATCCGGTATATCGAATAACTTTTGGTATCGGTATTCGGCAGCAAAATTTCAATTGTCGACATACCGAATACCGGCTACTCGGTATCCGGTATACCGGATACCGACCGATTACCACCCCTAGCAAAAACCAAATTCTACTGTGAAATGCAAAGGGTTACCATAGTATGTGAAATGCAAAAGTGACACCATAGCATGTGGAAAAAACGTTCTAGATAAAGCCAAAGAGATTCTTTCTGAAAGAAACTTGAAAAAGCAGAGCACATGCTGGAAAAAAAAGATACCCATACACTTCAAACTCAACCGTAAACATCAGTATTGATAACCAAAATCCTGAACCAGTAATCATTGGCTACATGAGAAAGAAGCCTTATAAATGCAGTCATATTACTAAGAATGAAATGGCGACAAAACTACAACCAATTGGTATCAAGCCACTGTGAATTTAAATCATAAAATCTTTGAAGCGCAAGAAGGGAGATAGTTTAATCACTCATAGAACACTACATTAGAGACATTCAAATCGTGCTATTGACTACAAGGTCTATAAGTTACTCGTGTTTTGTAGTTCTATGTCAAAAGAACCCCAAATAAATGTTTGTAAGTAGAGGCAAGAATGAACAGGTAGGAGCAAACCTTTGTATTTTCTAGTAGCAATGGCATAAAGAGAAATAATGACTGATGGCAATGAATCGGTCAGCCTAAGGCAAGCAAGTCATAGGAGTTGCATAAAAGTACCCCCATCATGGGAGTGGGGAGTCAACTAAAGATTTGCCCTTTCTACATAGATTGAAAGATGGGGTAGCTAAGGACATAAAGTTAGGAGAAACTCCAATAAACTTAAATGTAATCGAAAGAACAGGTAAGGTAGCAAGATGATTCAGGAAAAGCATATGGGAAACAAAGGTTCATATTGAGTAAAAGAAGGGTAAAGAGAATCATGAAAATTAAGTATGGATAATATAAAACCAACATGATCAAGAAGAGCAAAAGTAGATAAATATTGGGAAAAGAGAGTAGCTTTATGAGTGAATTATATTTATAGTGCATCTAGTTTTGCTCTATAAATATAATTCACTCAGAAATCTACTCTCTTTTCCCAATATTTATCTACTCCCTTCTATGTGGCTAGCGCATCTAGTTTTGCTCTTCTTAACATGAGGTATAATGCAATCCATTGTTGCAACCTAAGAACCATCAATAAAAGGTCAGTGCGGGGTCTAAAAGCAGGAAACAGGAGCATGCTTTTTTTCCTCGCCATACCTGGTGCTTAAGAGCTTTCACAGGTTACGCATCAAGATAATTATTCAACAGTTATGACCGGAAGCAATCAAAGACTTGACATAAAAGAAGTGCAGAAATAGATGATTTCAGAATTAGCATCACAATAGATTTATTCCACTCTCCTTCCACCAATTTCAGTCACCAAGCCAAACTAACTCATCAGCTCTAACCATTAACTACATTTCCCGCTGCAAACCACAACACGTAGAACAACACCAACACATGATTGGATAAAATACTCAATATAAAAGACAAAAATACAATGCATTTTACAACAAAGAAACAATACATGCTACTAAGGATTCGAACTTGGATTTTTAAGGTTGAAATCAATAATTATATGGCTCAACCAAACCATTACTTATAATTGATATCCTTTTGTTCGATAAAATTTATATTTCCCAATGGTATTCTAATTTTGAGTGCGTATATTTAAATTGAAATATAAATAAAAAAATCCAATATGTAGTAAACTTATTTATTGAATCCATATGTCTCAAGAGCAGGAATGTCATATGACAATCTTGGATTTCTCAATCAAAATAATACGGTTGCTTACTACTTTAAACTTTGTTAACATAATGAAATTAAATCTTTTCAGATGTTTACTTAATAAAATATTAGTCCGTTATTTACTTATTTACGACATACAAAGACTTATTACGCCAGTAAAATATACAACCCAAGCTAGTGCTTTGTACGGAAAGCCATTATACAGAATGTGACGAGATAAGAAGAACGATAAATATTACTACATAGATTCCACCATTAAATAGGAAGGAGAAAATACCGTTGTTCAATGTATCTCAACACGAAATTAAAGGAAAGTACCCAATAATGAAAATTTAATTTTGTTTCTATAGCAATGACAATCAAAATCCAAGTTTAATTTTGTTGCTATATGCTGGTATAATCATGTTTGGGTGCTTTGGCTGCTGTGTTATGACAACTTGGTGTCTTGGATTTGGATTGAAACGACTAAGGAAATGTATGTTATTTTCGTATTAGGAAAACGAAAAAGATGGAAATAGTAAATTGGCTGCCAAGCATTGCATTGTAATGTTTTCTTATTTCAGCGAAGAAGAAAAGGAAAGTAAAAGGAGAAAAAGGAGTGAGATTTTTAAGTTCTGGGGGTCAAACAGCAAGAATAAGAAAAAAGGAGGGGCATCTAGATAAAAATTCACGAGACACAAAAGGCGGACTTGAGACACAAAAATTAATTCCGGTTCAGTAAACCCGGCAGAATCCGGCGCCTGTGCTTAGACTGGATTCTCCCCCCACCCACTCCAAAAAGCGCAGGCGAAGAAAAAGGAAAAATAAAAAAAGAAAAGATTTGAATTTAATTACTTTTTCTGATTTTATGGGAAAGTAAGAAAAAAACAAAAAAACGTTTCAGGGGGAAGAGGAGACCTATAAATACACACATTTTATATATATATATTTTTTATAATTCAAGCCCTTCATTACCACCAGAATCCAGATAACCAAAAAGAAAGAAAAACACTCACTGTCCCCAACCGTTCCTTCAAGGAGAAAAGAAAAGAGAAAACCCTAAAACAATTATCAGTCACAAATTTGTACACTCGGCTCGCTCGTTCTTCGAAAATCTCGACGAGCTCTGCATCTGGAGGATTCACGGTGAGTTTCCTAGGGTTTCAGTGGTCTGAGAATTTGCGAGTAGCGAGTGTGTATCTAATTTTTATTTTTGTTTTGTTTTGTTTTGTTTCAGGGAGGGGGATCTGTGAGGGATAAGTAGGGATTTCGTGGAAAGAGTTTTGAAACTACCGAGTTTGGTCATGGCTTCCGGCGACAGGGAGCTCGAGCAGCAGCTCGAGGAAGCGGGGAACAAGCTCCTAAACCCTCCTTCTTCGGTCGATGAACTTCTTCCCCTTCTCGACGTAAGTATTTTTAACTCTCCCCCTTTCCCTGTTCTTCTGCCCCTGTGTGGCAGAAACGTTGTTTCCCCTCTATTGGGCTAGGTTTTCGTGCTTCTCGACACGTAGGGGCGAACTGCATTCAATTTGTTTGTTCTTTGATCTTCTGCTACTCTTTGTTCTTCTATTTGTATTGCTTTTTGGAGTTGTTGTTTGGTAGTAGGGTTCGTGTTTATCTTATCGTTCCCCCAAAGGGTAGGTTTTGCTTCCATGGTTGGCCATTTTGTTTCTGTTTCTGCTTGGTTACTGTCTGCATTCTTGGTGGGGTTATTTAGGTATATATGCATGATAGGATTAGGAGGGGGTGTTGAATTAACCATAGTTCTCCGTTTCTGCTCTCTGTGATGGTATATACTTATATATGTGTTCTTGGAAGGTCAGTGGAGGTGGAAGCTCTGAAGCAGCCAACTTTTCAAATGCGTGAAATTTGTTATTTGTTCTGTTTTGTGGTCTAGGTGGCGATAGGAAGGGGGGAATGGAACTTTCAGATTGTGTTTTCTGCCTGTTGCTTAATCCTGTTGTGTTATTGCAGTCTCTCGTGTGTTTGCACTCTTTATTTGTCTTAGTTTGCCATTGCATGAAGCTGTTGGCATCCATAATATAACCGTCTGCTAGTTTACATTTATGATAATCCCATATATTGGTGTTAAAATCTTCGCGTCCTAGCAGGATATGCCTTTAACGGTGTTCATTATGTTTGTACTTGTAGTAGTAAGTAGGAAGTCACCTCGCTTTGGTGATTCGCGATGATTAGTGGTTGATTAGGTAGTGATTTCCCATATTTGAAAACCTCATTATAAGGGGCACTATTATACCGCTTCTGAAGATTGATGTCTGAGATGGCAAATCATTAATTTGTTGTCGATGTGAGGGATTTGTGATCGTATAGATATAGTAATATGACAGGTGCTTTATATGCTTCTGCGTGCCTTGGATGGCTTTACTGATGATCACCTAGACAACGTCCACGTGTAAGATTAGCGTACTTTTGGTAAAAGTGTAATTCAAGTTATTAGCTGCATTACCACTATTTAACGTAACACGTGAAACATTTGATGGTTTCTTTTAGTGAAAGAAGCCCCACAAATGTCTTCTAGATGGGACTATGCATGTCATTTGGCAAAGGATGAGATTTCATCGGTGAATAGTTGGTGTTATTATTAGATGTTGTATTTATTGCCATATAACGATAGTTATAGTTTGTGACGATATATACACGTGATGTTATTTATATGGACACTTTTGCTTGCGAGTTCGTGATATGGTAACGGTTGGCTTTTGTTTTGAAACATGCCAAAGTCATTCTAAGGACTGGCGCCCCAGGTTTTTTTCTTTTGGTAGGAAATTGACTGTTCGTTCTATGTATATAACTGGTAGCAGGGCGGTTTAGCTTTCGGGATGGTTTTTTATACATTTGGATTGCAATACTAGGATTTGAGAACTAGTTAATGAGGCTATGTTGGGTGCTGAACTTCACAGTATATAGATGGATTTGTTGAACTAGGCGTAGTGCGGTTTTTCTTCATGTCATAGTATGCTATTTGACAACTAAGGTAGTTAGACTACACATATACTTTACCTTGTAAATTCTGACTAGTTTATACTTGACTATTGAAAGGCTGATATGGTGACACGTCACAATCATACGTGATCACAATTCACCCTATAGACCTAGTTATTAGGTGTTTCATTGTGGAATATCTGATGGTTCCTGTAGGCTGAATTAGTTTCTAAATAATCCGAATACCATAACTTAAGATTCAATGATTGTGAATCCTCGGCCCACGCAAAGACCTAACTTTATACTAGGATTTTGCTTCATTGATGGTGGGGGCATAACTTAAAATGCATTACATCGTTTTTTTTGTATGACTGGCGTGCCTAGCTCATGCGTTTGAGGCCGAAATCTGCGATCTATCACAACTTTGTCAATAAAACCTTGTTTTGTAAAACTACCGTTTTTGACTTAGTTACATATACCTAAAATAACTGGAAAGAAGTAGTGCTGGCAATATCTAGGATTCTGTATTACTAGTTAAGAAAAGTGAACAAGTCGATTTGATCTGAATCCTCTAGCTTTCAGATGGTTTGGATATACTTTAGTAGCCAACATTAGATCTGATATTAAGTCTCGATACAGACTTAATCTTGCACTACATTGCTATAATTCTGTCTTGTTCTTGTTTATGAACCTTGTTTCTTCTTGTTTTGAACTTTTCCTTATTTCTCTGATGGATTCTCGCAGCAAGTCGAGAGTTATCTAGCAAAGGTGGAACAGTCACCTACGGAATCAATGCAAAGCGCACTGGCTCCATCACAAAATGCATTGATCACAGACCAGCTCTTTCGGCATTCAGATGTGGATGTTAAAGCTGCTGTAGCTTCTTGCATCAGTGAGATAACGAGAATAACCGCACCGGAAGCTCCTTATGAGGATGACCAGATGAAGGTGGCTAGTGCTTTCAACATGTGGAATCCTAACAGATTGAAGAGCTCTTCTAGGTTAATTGATATGCATTTCGCTGTTTTTTTTTTTCATTTGGTTTCCTATGTATGCAGGATGTCTTTCACCTGATAGTATCTTCATTTGACAACCTGGATGACAAGAGTAGTCGGTCATATACTAAGAGAACGTCGATACTTGAAACTGTTGCGAAGGTCAGGTCATGTGTGGTGATGTTGGATCTTGACTTGGATGCGCTGATATTAGAGATGTTTCAGAAGTTCCTCAAGTCTGTAAGGTAATGACCAATGTCGATGACTGAAGTCTTTTCTGTAGCCTGGCGTGTGTCATTGGCAAGATATGCTGAAAGCTACTCATGGGGGTGGTTAACTGGAGTGCTCGGTTCAAATTTTTATGCCACTTTTTCATCCCATGAAGTGTTACATGCATGTCTTGAGTAGTTATCAGATTCTCCGTGTAACTGTGAATAAACAAAAGCACTATCTTACTGATGCTTCTCTATGCTGCCAGGGATTACCATCCAGAAAATGTTGTTACTTCCATGGAGACAATTATGCATCTCGTCCTAGAAGAGAGTGAAGATTGCCACACGAAACTGTTCTCACCACTTTTAGCTTGCGTAAAAAAGGGAAATGAGGTCTGTCATGGTTTTTATTGTTGCTTTAGTTTGATAACGTTGTTGCAACATATCGATTGTTATGATTAGCATCTCTTCTACAATTAACTCTGTTTTCCATGCCAGGAAGTCTTGCCCGTTGCTCGCAAGCTGGTGGAGGGCGTTCTTGCAAAATGTAGTTTACCTCTCAAGCATGCCTTGTTAGCTGCTATGAAAGCCTTACAGACCTCTTTGGATGACTACAGTGATGCTGTTGTTTCTATATGCCAAGATGTTCCTCCCGAAGATATTGATCAGCCAGATAATAATAAAGTAAGTTTTCCTTCCTGTCCTGGAACTAGAAGCCAATTGTTATTGTGCTGTTCTAGGCTACCTATGGCTTTTTAGCTGTTGAGTCTAAAATATGGTAGTCTCAGAACAGTCTAGATGACTTTTTTGAACTGCGGTATTGCATTCTTCATTTCAATGATTTCTTTTGGTCACCTTTTTGGTAGGTTATAACATTAGCTTTTAGGAAACTTTCTAACTCAACAAACTTGGGTAATAAAGAAGCTGGGCGGATGGTGTATCTTTGGATTTTATCCTCTGTCAGTTTGCCTTTTCTTTTTTTACTGAATCTCAGAAGCTAATGAGGCTGTTCACTCAACATGCAACATCGTTCTAACATTCTTTCAGTTTTCATTAAACTGCCAGTATCCCTGTTCTTGTCCTTTCTTGAAGCTGTTTGTTTTGGATGCTAACACTGTCAGAGTGCTTTGAAAGCAACCTTTGTATGTTGTTGAAACTAAGTTGCATCCTTTGATGTCTCTGTATGAACTGCTTGTTTTAAACTGTTCTAACTTGCTACAGGTAGAAGGAAGCAAGTCAGATATGGCGTTGGTCAATGAGGGTGCCAAGGTATGACATTTTCTTCTCCCCCCCCCCCCCCCCCCCCCCCCCCCCCCCCCTTTCTTATCTTAAGTTCCCTTTTAGGTCTGTGATCTAAGTGCGTACTTTATTTCCAGGCGAATAAAGAAGTAACAGCAGGAGTTGGTCCTTCTGAAGTACCCGATTCAGCAGGCGATAAGTCCTCCAAGTCAGTTGTAAGCAATGGTGTGGCAAAGACAAGGGAAGCTCAGGTCTTGGCCGAGTCAGATTCCTTGAAAACCCAGGAGAAGGGTAAAGCCACTAGGTATACAAAAAGTGCCAATCCTGCCACAAATGCTGATGTTTCTGCTACCGAGAAGGCTGCTAAGAAAGAAAGCAGGCCGGAGCTGAGTAACAGAAAGAGGGCGAGAAAATCTAAGTCATCTGCAAAGTTGATCGAGCGTTCTGAGGTTATACACACTGCTGATGAGAAAGATGCTGAAAAGCTTCCCGAAGGCAAAAGTCACGGCAAGGATGCTCCCAATTCACCTCATGCAGAAAAATCTGTACCTGGTGATGCTGCTGTGGCTTCTGAAAGTAAGCACAAGAATGATATCCAGCCGTCATCCCCAAAAGCAGCGGATGGGGAGTCCTTGACTGCTTCTCCATCTGTGAGTGAAAGCCCAGTGGATGAAACCCTTGCCAAAAAGGTTGCTCGTTTAAAGAAGAAAGAGGGTTCAGTAAAGGGGCTTGTGCAATCTACTGATGATGTCCAAAAAAGAGCATCCGAAGGGACAAGTGACTCAGAAGTGAAGCCCACCAAACGTGGTAGAAAGGGACCTTCTGGAATCTCCAACAAAGAAAAATCGGTAAAGATAACCGAGGCATCAAAGAAAGAATTTGGTGGAAGTGAATTGGACGCAAAACTATTGAAGCAGTCATTTAAGGCAGATGAAGGCAGTAAGAACGCAGAAGGGTCTTCGTCAAAGCAGTCTGAAGATAAGAACCAACGTGTGCGTGGAAAAGCTCTCTCGGGGAAAAATGTTGCAAAAAGTTTACCGAATGACGATGAGAATGTACCTTTTCTTCCTCCTTACTCTTGAGTTCACAGTTCTGTGAACTGATATAACATTTTATCCTGCTCTTTGATTGTGTAGGAAAATATTTCATCCCTGAAGTCCGCTGTAAAACAAGTGAAAGATGAACATCCTGTTGAAGAGACCCCCAAGACAAGTAGCAAAAGGAAACGAGATGTAGGGAAGTCCGCTGGAAAAGAAATGGTATGTTGTTTGAAGTGAAGATCACACTGATGCATTACTTTTTGGCTTAACCCCTTGTGCCCTTGTTGTCCTCTTAAATTTGTTTTTTGCTCTTTGTGCCTCCAAGACAAGTAGCAAAAGGAAACGTGATGTAGGGAAGTCCTCCGAAAAAGAAGTGGTATGTTGTTTCGAGTGAAGATTACTCTGATGCATTACTTTTTGGCTTAACCCCTTGGGCCTCCTTGTCCTCTAATATTTGTTTTTGACTCTTTGTGCTTGTAAAAGAATTGCTATTGTTTTATGAGCCTCTATCGGCCAAATCCGGTTTTCTTATACATAGATGAATCCCTTACTGTGGAGTTGATATTCAATTCATATTGTTAGCACTAGTAACTTTGAAATAATTAAAAAAAAAAAAACAAGTAACTTTGAAGTACTGTCTGGAACATATTGTATTATCTTCCTTCATCTTGGCTTTGTTTCCCGTTTCCATGTACAAGGTGTTGCTTTTGCCATGTCACCTGTTTCCCTTAGAATTATAGTGTGCATTTGTTTTCAAGAGACAAACAATGTGCTTATGCAGCAATTATTCTTATAGGCATCTGATGCTAAAGATTATGGCGACGAAATTGTTGGTAAAAGGGTGCAAGTATGGTGGCCACAAGACCGTAAGTAAGTTCCTGGCATTTGCCTTTAGAAAGTTTCATTTATGTTTTTCGTTATATATATTTATTAAATCTCCTGATTTCTGCAGTCATTGCATATTGCCATGGGTGTCTGTCTGGTTTTGTAGTCTATGCTCCTCTCTGTCTTACTATGTCTGGGCGATATGGTTTTCTCAGAATAAGCTTCCTTCATTTATTATACATTTTCAATCCTGAAATTAGTTGAGTGCGTTATTAAAATCCCCTAACTACTAGTGATTGTAAACCCATTGCCTCTTATCTACTTCGATTTTCAGATGCTTTGATTCCAACTTTGTCATTTTCTGAAATTGAGTTATTGGTTGAATAACTTCGATTTAGTTAAAACTTCAAGGTCACATCTCTTCTGTTCCTGGATGTGTCTGCAGGTTTTATAAAGGCACTGTTAATTCTTATGATTCTACCAAAAAGAAGCACTTGGTAAGGCATACTTGTTAGATATGGATAGAACGATTCTTTCCCTTCCGATTTAGTGAATTTCTTGCCTACATTTTCCGTCTATCGTTGTGCGTTGTAGGTTATTTATGATGATGGTGAGGAAGAAAATTTAAATATGAAGAGGCAGAAGTTTGATATCCTGAATAGTGAATCTGGTGGATCTGATTTGGAGGATGAGGTAAAAGAATTATCATCCTTTCGTTTTATTGCACAATCTATAGATTTTTTTTTGTTGACCTAGTTTCGTTGACAGGGAGAAGCAGCCAAACCTTCAAGTCCTGATGCCTCATCTGAGATGTATGTTTCTCGCTTGTATTATTACTGAACTCACGAGTCCTTTCTTTTGTAAGGCAATTCCATTGGTCTCAGTCATTGCTAAGGTATAACACAAGCCTTACCTTTTCAGCCCGGCAAAGAAGAAGGCAAAAACTGAGCAGTCGGCTAAAAAAGAAAAGATGGATGCTTCCCCTAAAAGGTGTGTAAGACATGAATGTTTATTTCTCACATTGCACCTCTGATGATGCCCACTTATGCTCATTTCTTCAACTACTGGATTTGATTTGTTAGGGGTGGTGGAGCTTCTAGCAAATCCAAGAGTTCAGCAGCTCGTGGGAAACCTGGGCGAAAACCGAAGGAAGTCAATCAAACTGATGCGGAAGATCCCAAGTCTTCCATGAAGACAGAGGACGATAGTGGTACCAAAAACAAGGAGCCTACCCTCGAGAGTGGAGGTAAATCAGGTGATGTTGCATCTTCCAAAACTCCTGGAAAATCCAAGACCACTGATGACTCTGTGGCAGCAACTAAAGCTACCACTAGCACCAAGTCGAAAGATGATGGTGGCGCTAGCTCTTCTGCAAAATTGTCGAAAGCCAAACAATCAACCAAGAAGACTGCCGGCGGGAGATCGTCCTCCAGTGCAAAGGGTAAAGGCATCAAGGGCGGTGCGAAGTCCAAAGCTAATGGTACAGGGAAGCCCAAAACTGGTTCCACCAAGGCAAAAGACACCGAGGTGGAAGACAGCACTGATGACGAGTCGGGCAAAGAGGAGGAGATTATCAAGGAAAATCCGACATCAAAGGGGCAAGCCAGTGAAGCAAAGAGCGGCAAGAAGCGGCCGAGGGAGGCCAAACTCGAGTAGGATGGATGGATGGATGTTGCTCCGAATTTGTGTCTGAGAGTTGGCACTTGGCATTCGCGTAGCATTAGCAGCAGTAAAGCGAGAAGTTTGGGTTCTTTCTCCGTGCAGATCGATTCAAGGGGGGGACTGTTATGGGGGTGAGTTTAAAGAGGGTCATTTTGTAGCGTGAAGCTTAGCTGTCTTTGGTATTGTTGAGATATCAGCAGCAGGAGGGTTAGGATAGTTGGTACTGTTAGATGGGTGTTGTTTAATCGGTCTCTTTTAACCTCCTTTCGTTATCTCTAGTTTATGGTTTATTTAAGGGAGACATAGTGCAGTAGCAGAAGTGAGTCGGGCTAGCCCTTGTTAAATAGATGCTCTGTTTCCTTTTTCTTCTAAATTAATAGATGATCATCATTCTTAGATTCAGATATCAAGTTGGTTTCCAGGCTTTCAACACCCATCATAGCTAATTAGCTATGTTGTTTTCTCTTCCTTTCAGTTATCAACTCTGTGGAAGATTGTTTCAAAGAAATTTCTACAAGTCAGTTTTGAATATTTGAACAGATCTGAGAGCTACCTGAAGTTCTGTAAGCCCCGGTGTGATTTAGAAATCGTGTCTTACCGGCTGGTTGGATCGAAATTCGGGGTATCGGAGTTTGGAAATACTAGGTATCTGACCTTAAACTGGTAAGCAGTATTTTTATTGAATTACTGGTAAGCCGTTTCAGTGGTATAAAACAGAAGAACTAAGGTTAAATTAATAAAGTGGTTTTAATACATAATATCTTGTTACTTTTTTTTCTTATAATTTTTAGTACGATTTTACTATTCTTCTTGAGGTGAAGATGGAGTTGTTTTACTGTGAAGTAGGGATGTCAATGGGTAAGGTTAGACTGAATTTTGTCAAATTCGAACCCAAACCCATGGGTATATTAAAAAAAAAAAAACTTGGGGTAAAATTCAATGGGTTTGGAAAACTCAAACCCAACGCAACCTGTTGGGTATCCACGGGTTCATGGATATCCATGGGTTCTATAAATGCTCAATAACTTCCTATCAAAATAAAAGTCTAACATCAATCTTCCCATTCAAATTATTCGTACAAACAAACACCAATGTAGAACATACAAGCAAATCACAAATTGTTCAACATTAAAGATAAACATCCATAAACAACATAATTAATTGAAGTTTCTTCCTCCTTGTCAACTAAGCTTATACACTTTCTACTTCATTCTACACAATTAAGAAGAACAAATTAGAGAGGGGTACATGTTGGAACGGGGTTGGATATGGCTAAACCCGAATCTAACCCAAACCGCAAAATAGTAGAACGAATTTAAACCCAAACCTGATCCATAATCCATCAACACGAATTTTACCCGTTTTAACCGGGTTAGGTTGAGTAGGATATTCGTAAATAGAGTTATATTGCCATCCTTAATAAGGCAGACCAGACCTGACGAGGTAGTGATAGATTAGTAGGGGATGAGTTCATGTGCTTAAGCCCAAAAACTTAAGCATATGCTTAAACTAATCCTATTGGTTGTTAGTAGATTAGGTGGTGAATGAGAAGTTATTAGTTAACAAGTAATTAAGGGTATTGAGGCAGGGGCGGAGCTAGGATTTAGCTTTCGGGGGGGGGGGGGGGGGGGGGGTGCCGGAGTTCTCTTGATACTTTACCGTAAAGAGCTAAAATTCTATTAAACAAAAACTCATTATATTTATTAAAAGCGCACACAAGAATTTATATTAAATTTGGGATAAATCAGAAAACTATATACAAGTTACTAACTCATTTCAATATTGTGTGGCGTAAACTGTTTTAATAACCAAACGGGAATGTCTATTTATATTAATATTCGGCAAAATGTATTCATTTTATATTAAAAAATAACCTTAAAATTGAAGAATTTAATCGATCTAATTTAAATTAAATAATTAACAAACCAAGTATGAAAGTTTAATCATTTGATCAAATTTTTTAGTTAAATAAAAACATACAGGCCATATAACTAAAAATATTCATCATGTTTCAAACTATCCTTGAAATTTTGAAAATAGTTTGAAAGAAAGCATTTGACAAATAAATTATTATGAAAATCATAGACTAAATTGACTATTTAGGAATCAAAATATAAACTGATTATAAAAAAAGCTGGTGAAAGAATTGGAACGGCATATTATTCATAGCCTTAGCTGTGATAAAAGTAAATGCTGCTATCCATAGGGATCGAAACCTCCACCACTGGCTGAAAGGGAATGGCGCACTGCCACTAAACTACAGGAAATTTTTTAATACTATTTTCACGTTTGGTTTTTTTTATACATAAAATGTAGTTTATACGTCTAATACCAACTTTTGCACGTAATTTTCAAAATTCTCGGGGGGCCGGGGCCCCCCGAAGGCTTCTGTAGCTCCACCCCTGTATTGAGGTAAATTGTGTATTTAGTTTATTTAAAATTTAACCTAATTTTTTTAAAAAGATTTAACCTAATTCCATAATTAAATAAAAACTAATCATCAACCCTTCTTCAACCCTAAAATCATAGCCGCCGGTTACGTTTTGTTATCTTGAAAAAGACGTCTTCCTCCTAACCCTCTACCGTCTTCGACCCGGCGACTTCTGGCCATTCTCCTTCCTTGGCGCCGTCGCGTTTTCCCTCCCTTCCACATATACATAGTAAGCCACACCGGGCAAGCCTAGGCTGAAAGTAGCTCGGGCTGCTGTCCTGTTTCTCGTTTATAATACCAGCGGAGAAGAAGTTGCAGGAGTTGACGTTTGTCATTTGTGTTTCTCGTTTACGATACCTGCGAGAATATGTTGTTGGTACTCTCCTCAACGTCGACGTCCAGCTAGCGTCGGACCCCAGTATGCTTTTGGTCGTCATCCGGCCAGCTAGCGTTGACCAGTTACCGTCGTCGAACAATTCCCGTTTTCTTTTGTCTCGTCATCGTCTAGTTTGGCGGTGAACTATTGTCGTCCGTCTACGGTCTATCCACCGCCTTCAATGTTTCATCAATTTTTTATGTTCAAATTAGTAACGCACTTTCGTTCAATTAGTAATAAATCAGATGGTAATTAGTTACCTTAGTTAACCTTTTATTCTTAACTTTTTAAATACCGTTGTTAATATTTTATCCTTAAGTTATCACCCTTTTTAATACCGTTTTAAAACTGATATCAGCACATTCCTTTTTAATAGCATTATTACCTTTTTATTATTAAATTTTGTGTTACCATTGTTAAACTTTTATTCTTAAGTTATCATCCCTTTTAACACCATTATTAACTTTTTAAATACCATTTTCAATACTGATACCAGCACAGGAGTGATCCCATTGAGTTTATTATTAACTTTTCATTTTTCATTGTTAACCTTTTATTTTTAAGTTGTCAACCTTTTTTATACCATTATTAACGTTTTAATACCATTTTAAAGCACAACCAACCAGAAGACTCGAACTTCAGACATGAGCCCTTGAGGATGCATATGAAAATCGCTAGCATTAATCTAATGGTAATTACCAACATTAGAGAGAATCATTATTAGTAGCTTTCATATTTGCACGTCAGTTTATTAAAGTATTCAGATTGTATATAATTATTAGATTTTCTTAATATTATCAACGATTATGAAGGGATTATCAATGTTATAATTCAACATTATTAACTATTTGATAGTAATTATCAATTGTTCATGCTGACGTTGTCAATGTGTAGAATATAATTAGTCATTCTATTATTAAAGATATACAATATCGTATTCGTTCTTATAATCATTCTCTTCGACAAATGACTATTAACATTACTTCAAGGTATTATCAACGTTTTTTTTTTCATCAAAAAAGTATTATCAATGTTTTTTTACCAAATTTCATCGATTTATCATACCATTATCAACGTTAACTCTTGGTATTATTAATGATAGAAATCATCATTATTAACAATTTCTCGTCATTTTTTATGAATTTTTTTTGGTGATCTATGATATCATTATTAACGATTTTTCATCATTTTTTAATGAAAATCATAGATCGTAAACTTTGTTTTAACGTTGACAAGTAGCGACGGGATGACGTCGGAGGAACTCATGCCCAAAAACCCCACTCATAATCCATTTCAATACCGAGACAAATGATGACGAGATGGTCAGATGGTGTCATAGGAGGACGCTTTGGCGGCAGGATGGCGATGTCGTCTGAGCACGCTCTGGCGGCTGGCTGGCAGACACGAATCATCGGCAGGCGATAATCATGTCGGTGCCGGGAAGTTGTCGGCGCCTTCCCCTCCAGAATTGGCGAAGAGAGAGAGGCCTAAAATGGTTTAGGGTTTTAATGCTTCTTTCCTATTAATAATAACTATATTAATCAGTTTCCATAACTATAAATTTTTTTTCTTAATTCCTCATTTACCCTTAATAACAAACTAACTACTAACCTTCCATAAACTAACTAAAATCATATTAGCCAATAGGAAGACTTTAAGCATATGCTTAAGCTTTTGGGCTTAAGCACAAGATCTAACCCGGATTAGTAGATAAATAAGTGATACAAGTGACAGAGATCCATCCTTGGAGGAAGTTTGAGCCATTGGCATTTTATTTTAAACATTAAAACGATTCTAAACATTTTCAGTTCCTTTTGAATTTTTATGGTTTTATTCCCGAATAAGTGATGTGCAAATGGCGAATTGCAGTCATCTCTTTTCTTTCACTATTTTTTATTTTCAAATAGAAAGTTTAAAAGTAACGAATAATTAGAATTTGGCATGGGTCGGTCAAACATGCTGAATTTTAAGTTTTGACCCGTTTTGATAAAGTCTAATTTATAATCACATGGTTCCCTGATACCCGATAAAAATCTCAATCCATACCAGTTTGGCAGGTGAGTCCGTGTTTACCACCATTTTCTAGGAATACGACAACGGCGGTTCCTATCCCAAATCGTGTTGTTCGTTCTTGATTTCCTTAGATTTTATCATGGCCTGACAAAAACCAGAAAGCACAATGATGACAAGATGAAAGTTTTATAAAACAAATTAATGGTGTTCTCTTTCTGATCTCATGTAATTATATAATGAAGTTGAAGTTTTTCGATGCTATTCAATTTCATTGGTATGTTTTTAATGGTCTAACTTCATGGTTGTACCAACTTCTGATGTACTGTTTATGTTCCAATATATTCACTTTGGTATGATTATTAGGGATATGCTAGGCGGTACTCACTATTAGGCCAATTTAGCTTAATGGTTGAATCTACGGGTTATCCCAATAATTCAATATTCGGCTCAGCTCCTCCGACCAACAGGTCGGATTATAAGCTAGTAGATAAATAAGTGATACAAGTGACAGAGATCCATCCTTGGAGGAAGTTTGGGCCATTGGCATGTTAGCCGTGGTCTTTCTCAGCCTTAAGATCAGATTGGATCATTTGGGCTGTCCAATTGAGAAATGCCAAAAGGCTCAATACTCGATAGTACGATATATTATGTAAATTAATTTTATTAGATTTTCATTATCCTTTATGAGGATAAGTCAAAAGAGGGAGGCGATTGGCTGGTGTTTGGCAAATGGATTCACTGTCATGAGTTTTGAAGGTGATGCACATGTGATAATTGAGAAGATTCTCCGGAAGGATGTTCGAGATAATCAAATAGGGGCAATTCTGGAAGAGATAGTCAAATTATTTGCTTCAAACATAGGTTTCACTGTACGATTTGTAGGTCGACGAAACAATA